TTATACATTATTNATACACCTAAATTGACCACAGCTTTGAATTTGTCATTCCAAAAAACCCCCGTGTATGAAATTTCATTAAATTATTTCGAATCAGTCGAAAGATATTTAAGAAAATGCGATTTATTTTCCCAACTTTGACACCCTGTATCTCGGTAACGAAGCACTTGCGGACCGATGTTCATATGCACTTTTTTGCTTAAAATATGACAAGGAATCACCCCTTGAAATTAAAGTCATCACTTAAGATACACCCTGTATATAAAAAAATTATTTATTTCAAATTTTACTTTGTTTTAATTTTAACGTATACGTCAAAATTACATAGCTGATCCAGTAAAAAAATTATATACATTTTATGTTATGACTTACAAATTCCATCCGTCTGAGATATGTAGGTGCCTAATTACCACACCTTTGATCAAACTGCTTGTCTTTCACAGCCTATTTCGATACGCAACCTCCACACACCTGTTGAGATCACGTTCCATCAGAGCAGGCTTTGGTAATGTATGCATCCAAGGCCTGTTTCGTCAAGTGGATATCCTCTATAGTGCCTGCACACGTTGTTAATATGCCCGATTTGCATACGAATGCCGCCATGATACGCATCAACGGTTCAGATGAATGTCTTTTGTCCTTCGATGAACTCCTCCCTCCCAAGTTTATTTCCTAATCAGAACAGACGTCAGTTGTCACAGAAGTGACCAAACATAAGAAACCGTTAGAAAAGGAATTCTGGATAATTATTTAGAAATATATTAATTTGTCTCATTGCAATTTATTTAGAATTTTCTTTCTAAAATCCTAGATTTATATCCAAAAAGTTTTAGTTAGTGGCTCCAACCAATTCCCCAATTTTGTTCCAGTTAGGAGTAATTAAAATTAAAAATTTACCTATCACTGCAGATTTAATTTCAGCAATCTATGCTTACTTATGATTTTCAACATTCTTCCATGTTTCTATCCGTAGTTTTTCTATCCCATTATCTCTTAGTTCCACAGCTAAATTTGTAGAGTATTCCTTGGTCAAAATTAGCAAAAAAAAACAAAGAAACTCGTAGTCAATTATGGCTCCTTGCAAAGACATAGTAAATTTGGTAGAGGCTATTTGGCATTTATAGTATTACAGAATATGATAAATTTTGTACTTGTACTCGATAACAGTGTCACTTATTAAACTTTTTAAGAGCAATATTTTTGTCATAAAAAAGAAATTACAGAGTGATACGCTATTACTGCCTAGGCTTTCAGTTTGGCCACACCAGCAAAGCACAGTCGAAAATTTCAGTCATTATGAAAGTAAGATATGTCCTCAACTAGAAGAACTTTCTAACTGATGATATTGGGGGAAACAATTACTCTGTGTATTATACGCCCCGACCAACAGTTTATTATTCCATCAGTATCTAATAAACAGTTAGGACCATTCGCCGAATGTACCCGACATGTAAACAGACTTATTAGTCCTCGTCATAAGTGAAACAACCGGTATATATCGGATGGGTTTAGCTGACCTATCTGTTTACTAGGTATCGCTGATACAGTTCAATAGTAGTCAGGCATATAGCTCGCAGAGTAACTGTTTACCGCAATATCATCAGTTAAAAATAATTGTATTAATTAATGTCGCCCTTTAACGTTACTGGATCAAAATTTAGATTTTCTATATTGGAAAATATTTATATATAGTAATATTTTTCTATTTGGTGCATTCCATTCATCTCTAAATATATTTATGGACTATAAATATCGTGCTTAATTAAAGCGGAGACGATAGCTATAATTTATATTTGTATACTTGGCGGAGATGGTTCTTTCCGATATTTTTTAATTTCGGTGTAGTCACAGAGCATAATAAATTATAACAAGCATATAAGTCGTTCCAGTAATTGCATATCCTTAAGCGTTGCTTATTTCTGCGTAAAGCATATTTTATATGTGTAGTAATACATTTTTTTATTCTCAAAGAAATAACAGGTGAACTAGACAGAAAAGTCTTTATTCCTGTTTTTACAAATAAAAAATATGGAAATAAAATATAGTTTTGCAAACATGCAGTGTCTCATTCAAAAGAATTAATACCTACCTCTTGAACTCTCTTGAAAAATATCTGGAGGAAATCTGCTTATTGTGCGGCGTATTCTGTCTTCGAGATCGTCGATAGATTTAGCTTTGTGTTAAATTGCTTCAATGCGATTTAATTCCTCCTTTGGCCATCCTCTCTCCTAACTCAATCGATCCAGACTCACCAAGTAAAACATTGTGTTCAATATGAACCTAAGTGTATACGCTGAAAACATTTACCTGGATCCATCCGCATATCTGAATGAATACAATATAAGCATCAACATCCAACACAATTTGACTCTGTCAAGATCAAATCGGATGAGTTGGTTGGTTGGAGAGCGATCGTTGTAGCAAAGTGAATGATAATCCAAACAAAACTTGACTTTTATACTTAAGTAAATGTAAAATTCAAAGTTTATGCCATATTAGTTATGTTTAAAACATATCTACATACCTTTCTGTTGTGTAATTTTAACATATATACTTAGGATTTATGACATACATTGTTGTCGAATCTCTGAATTGAGAAGGACATGAAATTTTAGGAGAAGTTATGGTTAGAGTGCCCGTAGGCAAAACTTTTATTGATACAATACTATCTCCAAACTTCTTATATAGCTTCATTAGGCCTAGTCTGACACATTTTTCCTACAAGATTAACAGAGGTATCACTAAAAAGTATTTCAGCTACTTCATTAGTCGAGTCGGTGGTAGACTTCTTAAATTAATCTGAAACAACATAAAATAACAAAATTAAACCGCGAATGATACGCACGGAATGAAAACTAGTCACTCAGAGGCCACTGCCATTGAGATTCATAAACTAAATACAATAAATTGAAAACATGTAATTATTTAAAAATATGTATAATTCAAACTTATCAGATTAGTAGGATCTTTATTTATTTTTTATGAAAGACATAAATTAGTTTTATTTATTATTAGTAACGTATGCCTTTCCATATACCAATATTACTTAATATTTAATTAATCATGTAAAAGTTAGATATCAATTTTTTAAAAACACTAGAATATTTTTTAATGTTTAGAGCTTCATCTGCATTGACATAATAAAAATATGGTGACTTTAAAACAACATGTAGCAAAGTCGCAAAAGTAATACCACTGCGTTAGTTCCATTCAGACGGTTAAAAAGATTGCAACTGGCAACAATGATATAACTCCGGTCCAAGTGCTGTCCTAAGAATTTAAGTGTAGTTTATTTAACTAAAAAGTATATTTTCCTATTAGTATTCTGGAAAACAAATACTACTCTGCTTTGCTTTATTGCACCAATTAAAAAAACACAGTGCTTGCGAATCTTTTAAAAATAATTAGTACAAATTTTTATCTACCCACGAGACATCCCATTTAACTAACAAATTTAGAAAACATCGCTGTTTTTTATTACCTACCAATTTAATGTCTCATCAAGCCTTCCCCGCTACTAATAAAACTTCCCAAGCAAACCTTGTGCAATAAAGAACTAGCAATAAAAGAAGATGACGATGCAATTTCAGGAATTATAAGGGAATCGGGCTCGTTAGTTTGATTGGAAGTAATTCTTAATACATTCCCCAAGTCTAGCGCTGCCTTCAGATCTATCATTATGGGATGAAACCTATTAATAGAGGCGCACACGGTTGTCCTTAGGGACCGTAAAAATGTGAGAATGTCTGGTTATGTATATCACAATGGAACCGGGTTTTAAAGGTTTATGCCTCTAGCTGAAAAGTGATTCTGCAAAATGTGTATACGTTAAAGTCGATTAAATTTATGTAAGGGTTGATAGCTATAGAATGTCGTAGAGAATATCAAGGTAGGAAATAAATGAATTACGTATGACTTCACACGGTTTACAGTTGTTGTAGAACACGTGTACCATTTAGTCTAAATATAAAACCGTTTATAAAAATTCGACAAACTCCGACGAATACTCAAGTGAGAATACTCAACTCACAAACATCAAAATTTAATTCACTATAAAATCATTAAACACGGAAATTAGTTTATATGAGGCAAAATTTGTTAAAATACATTGATTGTGTTCTCAGGTTTGAATAAAATCATATGTGGCATAGGAAAAAACTTTGAGGCTTTATAAATAGTTGCCATATTTAAAATGTTTTAAAAAGTGGCCAATAAAAATATGCATTCGTTATTTTGACATTTAATCAAAACCAAGAATGAATGAAAAAGGCATATTTTTTTTGCTATTTTAACGGGGTTGTCAAAATGAAAAAATAGTACATACAGGGTAATTCAGAACTTATCGAAAAAAAAATTAAATATACAGGGGACTCTTACAAATACAATGTAAAGAAAAATTCGAAAAGGGAAGTTCGAAAATGATTTAAAAATACACTTCTGCAGGGCACTGGAAACTGGTTCATTGTAAAACCTGACCTTATGCAGCATGAATGGGCAAACAATTGAAAAAAAATATTTCCCCTGTATGATGAAAAAGGATAGGGACAGGAAATTTTAACTTCTTTATTGCACTCTTTGTTATAAAATTCATTATAATGAAGTGCTAAAATAGAGCTAACGAGATCTCCCAATGGGTATTTTTTTAATATAGTCCAAATGATAATTACCTACTTATTAATTCATATTATATGCATACCCATAGTCATACATATAAAATACATATCTAGATAAGCAGATAATATATAATATAATACATTAAAATTTATACATATACACTTTTTTTAAATTACACCGTATGCCTATTTTGCGCGACTTGCGCAGTATTATTGATCTCCCTGAACAGTGCAGGTCTCATCCTCACAGGATCTGCAGCCTGCGTAAGGACCTCGACCTCTCACTTCCCTGAAATGTTTCCTCCACTGCTTTTTTCAATACCTTGAGAATTCCCCTTAATCTAAATATAGTGATAACAAAAGTGTGATAAAATCGATGCAATCATCATGAGATACAAGTGGGTGTTCTGGACATTTTATTTAATTAGTATCTTGGTATTCCTCGTGGATTTTTCTCTTTGTAATCCTGACGCTAAGAGACTATATGATGATCTTCTCAGCAATTATAATAGACTCATTAGACCAGTTAGTAATAATACCGATACAGTGTTAGTTAAGTTAGGATTAAGATTATCTCAACTTATAGAACTGGTAAGTACAAAATGTTATTATAAAAACTTTAATAAAGCTAAACTAATTTTATAAGTAAATTCAGTCCAAGAGGTTTGGTTACATTATTTATGTACTCTTGATAATAAAACACATACTTTGTAATACGAAATACATCAAATCAATGACAAATAATTTAATTAAAACAGTGAACGACGTACTGAAAGAACACTAAAGCTACGGGTGGTTCCACTTAATAGGGAATTGGGGAAACTTACTCAATATTTAAGAAAATTGCTTATCTGCAGCGAACAAACAAGCAAAATTACATAAAAAGTTCACCCTGGTAACTTTTATCTTTGATTTTAGGAATGAAGTTTTCTACAAAAATTTTACTGGCAATTTTGGCTTGTTGAGAAACGGATATAGTTAAAAAATAGGAAACGCTTGTTTATTTTTTTTTAAAAAAAAAAATTGTTCCCGTTGAAAAATTATGTTTCTATTCCAATGTACAAAATTACAGATTTAAGTGAGTCAGCATGTACAGGGTCGAGTGTCCTCTATAAAAAAATATTTAGAAACATATTCGTTCATTTTATTTTTAAAACTCAATATTACACCGTATAAGAAAAAAAACAAAGTGGTCCTAATATTTTGAAAAAAAAATTTCAAATGTCTGTAACGAAAACTAAAGATACTTTTTGTTCGTTTTTTTTGTATTTTAATCTTTTGCAGATAATGTACACTATTAAACCAAAATTTGGTTTAATAAAGAACCTGTCTCACAAATTTACATATTGAAAGACGATTTTTTAAATATTTTTCGAGGAAAAAAATCAACCTTTTTCAAAATGCACTTTTTTGGTTTCAAAATCAAAAAGAGACCAAAAACTAGAAATTTATTATTTTTATAGTTCTTATAGTTTTATATCTTAAAACGAACAGAATGAAAAAAAAGTTTATTATATCTTTAGTTTTAACCAAGTTACAGGTACTTGAAAAAATTCTTGAGGGATTGAAGTAAAAATTTTAAAAACATTATGAAAGTTACTCTAAATGGTTACTAAATAATACCAAAAGTCAAGAATATTAATGCCCCATATGTAAACTGCAAGTTTTCGAAAAGGACAAAAATATTTCATTAGGAAAATTTAACAGAATTAAAATTTATTCCCACATTCCAAATTTGAAATAAATTGGTTTACTTTGATTTTTTCAATTTGTCCAACATATGCAATTAAACTGCTTCTCTTTTGAGTAAAAGATCGGAAGAATTTATTAGAACCCGTTTAGTATTAAAATTCATACTAGAGACCCAAATTTTGTGGCAATCAAAGATATAAATTAAAACTTAAATATAACATGTTTCGTATACAATTTAACTAACCTAATTTTTGCTATGCTGATGCTACGCAAAATGATGATACTGAAAACACAAAATCTATAACTTTTATTTCTATTACAGAATTTGAAAGATCAAATATTGACTACAAATGTATGGTTGGAACACGTAAGGATATTTAAATGTTATGTCTTACAATAAATTATAATCTCAACTATTTCAGGAATGGCAAGATCATAAATTTATGTGGGACCCTCAAGAGTACGGTGGTGTTAAGGAACTCTATGTACCATCAGAACACATTTGGCTGCCGGATATAGTGCTTTATAATAAGTAAGTTGCATCATAACTTACTAAAACACTGTTCTATCAAAATCTCATTAACTAAGGTCTTGAAGATCTTAATTTGAATTAAGAACATTAAAGGTTCTTATCTAGTGTTTCTAAAGTTACTCAACTTACACTAGTATGGACAATATTGTTTCAGTCCTTTGTTTCTGCAATTTTATCCTCTAAAACAGTTCTCCATATTTGATTGTTATTATATCCCCCTTTTCTCACTGGATATTGCTGTTACGTCGTATTATCGTTATTACATCTTCTTCATCTTATTTGGTCTCTCATTTCTCTTATTTATGTTGTATAATCATCACAAGATCATCATTACTAATTTCCACGTAATCACTAAAGCCATTTCTTCTAGACACACTGTTTCTATAATGATATATCAACACTATGTTGAACAAATATATTAACTAAATACCGTATATTACATTTTCACTGTGTCAATCGATTGGTTGTATTTCTAGTGCCGATGGTGAATATGTTGTAACTACTATGACCAAAGCCGTCTTGCATCATACTGGAAAAGTACTTTGGACACCACCAGCAATCTTCAAATCTTCATGTGAGATCGATGTGAGATACTTTCCCTTCGATCAGCAGACATGTTTTATGAAGTTTGGATCATGGACTTACGATGGGAATCAAGTATGTATTCGAAACCACTTAACTGATTTTCTTTGTTGCAATGTTGTTTAGATTCATATTTTGCCAAATGGCATTTCTAAATCACGGGGAAAACGATTTTGTATTCTCAATAATATACATTTTATACCAATGCTGCACTTTATTGAGTATTCCTTGAACATTGTTATAATTACTGGTAAGTACAGAGTCTTGATGACTGATTACAAGTCACGTGACCTGTAATTCTGTTCATGTTGGCAATTAAATTTCGGTAAAATCAAAAATTATTAAAACAATAAGATCAAGATTACATTCATTAAAACACAACACTCTACTTCCGACTGTGATTGGTATAATTTTTCACGAGAGGATATTCAACCAATCAGCGATCGCATTATTCCGAGCGTTAGCGTAACGGTTTGTTATTGTTCATTGTAAACAAACCATTAATATTGGTGATGATGATTTAGGGATTTTTCGTTACTAGCAGCAGTCGTGCTATGTTGAGTTGCCTAAGCTCGGCGTCACATGGCTTGTAAACATTTGTGAAGGTTTTTAATATGTTTCCCATTGAAATATAAACTAATCTTTTCATTGAATTCAATATAAACTTTTTGCTGCATTTATATATTTATTTCAGATTGACTTGAAGCATATTAGCCAAAAAGTAGGTGAAGACAAAGTCGAGCTTGGCATAGACCTTAGAGAGTATTACCCCAGCGTGGAATGGGACATCTTAGGGGTTCCTGCAGAAAGACATGAAAAATATTATCCCTGTTGTTTGGAGCCTTATCCCGGTAACTGTAACTGTAACATAAAACACAATCCTGATATTTATTTTATTATTTTGGTTTCAGATATATTTTTCAACATAACGCTGCGAAGGAAAACACTTTTCTACACTGTTAATCTTATAGTACCTTGTGTAGGCATCTCCTACCTCTCAGTGTTAGTCTTTTACTTACCTGCGGACTCTGGAGAAAAAATCGCCTTATGTATAAATATTCTACTATCTCAAACAATGTTCTTCTTGTTGATCTCAGAAATTATACCCTCTACATCCCTAGCTCTGCCACTGTTGGGAAAATATATTTTATTTACCATGGTGTTGGTAGGATTTTCGGTAGTAATAACTATAATTATTTTAAATGTGCATTACAGAAAACCAAGTACTCATAAAATGGCGCCGTGGGTTAGGAGTTTCTTTATTAAAAGTGTTCCCAAGCTATTATTAATGAGAGTACCCAAAGATCTGTTAACAGAATTAGCAGCTCATAAAATTCCCCCGAATCGGATTATGACGAAAAAACGAGATATTGATACAATGCCTTCAAGCAGATCGTCGTCTTCTAGTACCTCCAGTTCATCTATGAACAGAGCTAGTGGATGCAATGGACTGCATTCTACGTCAACTACTAACAGGTAAATACTATTCGAGAACTCTATATCAGTTTTAGGAAAAGTTTTGAACTTGTTGCGCATAAAATTCGTGATATAAGTTGTCAAAAAAATTTAATGCGTATAACTAACTTGAATTCTGTGTATAAACTCTATTATTTCTTTTCGTAGCTAGGCAGATAGCACAAAGCAAATACAAAGAAATGTTTTGATCAAGTATTTTAATCAGAATGTAACTTTTACAGAATTACTTCAATATATCTTTTAGATTTCGCTATAACCGACTGGGTTAAGCTTTACACACGACACTTTGCATGTTACAAATAAAAAACATACGTTTGATAATTTTTGTCCTATTTTTAGATTACGTGGATTTGCTGGCGCCCTAAGTGGAAGATTAGGTTACAACGGATTGCCATCCGTATTTTCTGGTTTGGACGAAAGTGATTCGGGAACCAAGAAGAAATATCCATTTGAACTGGAAAAGGCAATCCACAACGTCATGTTCATACAACACCACATACAAAGACAAGATCAATTCAATGCGGTATAAATGTTACTATTAATATTTTTCATTAAATGCAATAAGAACTGTTTTAATTTATATCAACAAAATTTAGGTTTTTAACCAGTCCTTTTCACTTGTTTTCATCAAGCTTTCCTCGCTGAATACCATACTTTGAAATACAATTTCTTTTTACAAACTCAACATCAAAAAATTTTCAATTCACTACTTCTGGGGAAGTTACCTATGCTCTGATTACACAGGTCAGCATTTAGTTTGAAAAAAAAACACCGGACTCTACCTAGGTACCCAGGCATTTTTGGGGTCCCTGATTCTGATGCAGAGATTCGTTAAGCTCCATCACATCGGATTCAAGGTTATTTGAAGGTCAATTTATAAAAGGTGGTGGAAAAAAATCTGAAAATAATTAAACATAAGTTTTTTGGGACGCTGAGTCTGAATCCGATGTTGGTTGACCTCTATCACTTTATGTTCAGGTCGTTTGAAGGTTACAGTAAGAATAGGTGGTGAAAAAAACTGGAAAAAATTTTTGTGAATGCTCATCTGTCTACTTTTGTCTGTTTATCTGTCTGCCTTTTTACCTGCGCACCTGTTTGTTTGCTTGTTAGTCTGTATTTATCGTCCGCTTGTATTTTCTCCCTATCCATCTTCCTGACATCCTGCCTTTCTGTGGGTAATTTTGTCTATCTTCCTGTCCGACTAAATGGCTAAATGTTTCTCTGTCTGTTTTTCTACTACCCTCTGTCTAAATGTCCACTGACAGTCTGTCTGTCTCCTTGTCAGTTTGTCTTCTTACCTTTCTGCCTACCATCCTCTCTCGGTTTTGCGTGATTGTACAATAAATAGATTTAAAAAAATTGAAAGCCCTCAACAAATCAATTCGCTTCTCTCAGCATGTGTATTAGTCGAAATTCGGGCGAGAACACTTACGTTGTTCCTAAAATGATCTTCGAAACGCTTTTCTTTTATGTTATTTAATTGTGTCTTTCTTTAGATTCCAGCAATAGTCTACCAACATATTCTTCCCCCAGACACCTTGATATCTTTGTTTAAACTCATTCAGGTCCCAGTGCATTCTTTCTCCTTGTTCTTCACCCAGATTTTTCCAAGATTTTCTGGGAACTAGTCACCATGAGAATGAAGAAAATGAAGTTTCATATTCATATGACATTTAGACAGAGAGTGGAAAAGAAAGACAAACAGATAGAAACATTTAGTCATTTAGTCAAACAGGAAGATAGACAAAATTACCGACAGAAAGACAGGATGTCAGGTAGATGGACAGAGAGAAAATACAGGCCGATGATAAATACAGACTAACAAGCAAACAAACAGGTGTGCAGGTAAAAAGGGAGATAGATAAACAGCGTGAGGATTCGTAAAACATTTTTTCAATTTGTTTCACCTCCTATCCTTACTTTAACCTTCAAACGACTTTGAACATGAGATGATAGAGTTCAACCGAATCGAATTTTTTTCTTGATTTGACCGTCAAATTACCTTGAACCTGACGTGATAGACATCGGAATCAGCGACTCCAAAAACCCCTGGGGACCTAGGTGGAGCGCGTTTTTTTTTTAAATAAATGTTGAACTGTGTTATGTTCTACACTGCTAGTTTATTCAAAACAAAAAATGTGTTGAAAGCTGTCCTAGAAACTGCACCATTTTCTACGAAAAAGTCACATGGAAATTGAGTCATTTCTATGGTTTTAACATTTCCTCTTCTTCAAGACTTGTTTGTAACTTTCATCCTCGAGTTGTGCGTATAGTTATTAACATATCCTTAATTCCACATTATTTATAGGAGGATCAAGACTGGGGTTTTGTAGCTATGGTACTGGACCGCCTTTTCCTGTGGATTTTTATTATAGCGTCGATAGCAGGAACCATTTCCATTTTATGTGAAGCTCCAGCTCTTTACGACGACACCAAACCAATTGACATGTTAATATCCTCCGTCGCTCAACAACAGTATCTACCGGATTTAGAGAATATCCAGTAATTCAATTTGTCAGTATTTCACTTCGTTATATTGTAATTAGGTTAAGATGTTATATATTATAATATTGTTTTATTAACTTACTTAAAATATACAATTTACAAACTTTGCTTCATTTTTATTATGAAAACGAAAAGACTATTGGGATTACCCAAAGCAAGACATGATCTCACATAAAAAATAACCATAATAACATAAGTTGAAGGACACAATTTTGATTCTAATATTTTATTTGGTATTATCATGCTAAAATCCCTTTTGTATTTAACTCTAGTACACAGTTCTTGATTATGGTATTGATGGTGTTCTTTGATGACGGCTATTAAATGGTATGTTCTACAGATAATGTTCGAAGGTTCTATTTTTTAGTTTATCTACAACAACGTGGAGCAAATACTGATAACTGATTTAATATTGAATGTCGTAAATATTATTACTAGTAAGTAGGTAACGTTGGTAAAAAGGTCTGTTTCTGTAACAGTTGGGAAGTGATTTAAACAGATATATTTGACCAATTGATTCGTGACGTATGTGACTTAAAAACAGTTTCATACTGCTGCAGAAACAAACCTAATATCTTAATAGCACAATATATGGTCCCCTAATAAGCCATTAATTTCGCTAAAGTGGAATAAAAGATATCTGTACAACATTTTCAAACATTCGATAAACCAAAAATTTCTTCCGGGAAATAATTTACATTTTTCGAAAACGGAAATACGTTAATACGCTTTCAAGCGAAATAAAATGGATCTTTGTTTCTAATAGGGAAAACGTGATTTTGAAAACTTTGTAACAAGTTTATATACAGAGTAAGTACCTATATGGCATACTCTCGGGGGTGTATAGGGGAGGTCAAAATAACCCTAGTTTGTCATAATTTTTTTTTCCTAAAGTGCCCCTTAACGGAGATGCAGAGCCCCAAAGGGGTACCCAGCGATTTTCTTTTTCTTGTATAATTTAATAAAATTTTAATATTTTATGTAGACCATAAAACTCATAAAGCCATAAGTACAGTAGATGTTTTACACTGTCAGAGAAGTCATGAACGAACTTACCACCACACTCGTTGGGCCAAAATTTTGACAGGTATCACTTTATAGATGTGAAAACTGAATTTTTAAATACTTTGGTTATTCCTCTTTAAAAAAGGTACTCTACATTTGCTTTGATAAAATCAGTTGTTTTCGAAAAAATTCATTTTTTGTATAACAAGTTTAAACATTATTTTATTTAATTATAAAGTTTGACCCATCAAAAGTATTTGATGGGGCGATGCACGTCATGCATTAAACTACATCTGATTTCTAATTTCTAAGGGCACATTTTCTAATAAATCATTTAAGCTTTTTGCAAGAATTGCAAATACATGGCACCATTTAATATCTTCAAAAAGAACGATCCAATGAGATGATTCCTAATAATCCCCGCCCATATGTTAACAGTAGATAGATGAGGCGGTTTCTACGCCGGAAGTGACGTCACAAGATGGCGGCGGTCTGTATAGGGATAAGATGGCTGCGGTCTGCAGCGGATGTGACGTCACAAGATGGCGGCGGTCTGCGTGGAAGGTGATTGGTCGTTAGGGATAAGATAG